TTTCAGTTTTTCTTTATTTTGCACTTGGGGGGGTGATGTTGGTTTACAAGCAGAGCCTCTTGTAATCAGTAGTCAGCGGGTGGCGGTGGCGGTTGCAGAGCAGCAGCGGCGTCTCCGCCGTGTGACGAGTTCAGGGACGTCTCTGTTTGACTCAGTCACCTGTCACGAATCACCTCCGTCAGCCTCGTCTAGGCTCGCACTGTCAGGTGTGTGTGTGTGTGTGTGTGTGTGTGTACACGTCCCCTGATGGACATTGTGCTGATGCTCTTTTGCTTTTTTTTCCTTTCTGTTTATCCAGGTCATCAAAGACCCGCCGCCGCCTCCTCCACCTTCCCGTCCTCCGCCACCTGTGAGTACATCGCTCTGCCGTTACAGTGTAGATGACATATAACAAAAAGTCACAGAACAGATACTGCACTTTATTATACCACGTTGAAAATAATGGATATAACAAGATAAAAAGGAATAATAGAGTCATTTTTTGTCAGATTGTTCCCACTCGAAGGACGTGAGTTTCTCTTCCTTCCTGAGGAAATGACATAAATGTATTTCCTGTTGAGAGGAAGTGCATTCAGATATTGATAAATGGGATTGAAAGAAAATGGAACAATAGCAAGCGCGGTCCTGCACCACCTGTTTGTCCACGTGGTAGAGTTGATATGTAATCGTTTACAAGAATACAGTTTGCATGTGGTTCTGTACACGAGTGACTAACTTCCCTGTTTTTCTTTTGAAGGAGCCAGAGCCGCTGCACAAGAAGAAGTGGCCGACCGTGGACGCCTCCTACTACGGAGGAAGAGGAGCCGGAGGGATTAGCCGCATGGAGGTCAGAGCCTAAACCTCGTCCCCCGACATATTGCTTTCACAAAAGCTTATATTTGATCTGATTTAATTGTCCGTCACACATGATTCATTCAAGGAACGCTGGAAACTTGAAAATCCAATGATAAGTCCTGATTTAACGGTTTCTGACTGTAATAAATGTTGTATTTTTGGTGATTTAAAAAAAGAAAAGAAAACATGCCTTTCAAATGCATTCGGGCATCTTTTCTTATCAAATCCAACCAGCAAAAAAAAGAACAGAAATCCTACAAAGATCAGATCCCAGACAACAGGAAGTGACCCTGTTATCACGTAAACCTGCAGCGTGTTTAGAGAAAACTGCTGACGAGTCAGTCTTCTCTCTGAAGCTACAAGTTTGTGGAGTTGCACAGTCGAGCAGCAGGAGGGACCAGCCGACCGACAGACCGGCCGGCCCGCTGTCCTCGTCAGTCCACTGATGCCTCCGACATGACAGGCGCTGCCATCTCGTCCTTGGCCGTCCGATCCTGATTGGATCAAGTCGTTGCCGCGGATGAAGGATTGAGTGCCGCTGTCAGCTTGACGTATAAACCTCCCCCTCCCATCTCAACTCCCAAACCTTGGCAGCCTCTTTGTTATGCGCCTCCTCCGAAGGGAGTCCAGTTTAAAGGGCGAGCTCCCCTCCTCCTCCTCCTCCCTCCTCACCCCCTACCTCTTCTCAGCCCCGAGGAAGTTGGTGGCGTTGCAGGGATTTCCCAGCATCCTCGGGGAGCTCTCTTTACTTTCTTTCACCACGAGTGTTGCAGCGATTTCAGGTTGATTCCCGTCGACAGGCCCGTCTCCACTTCTGAAGCCTCCCAACTCTCCTGCAGATGGAGAGCGAGGTGCTTGCCCCCCCCCCCTTGCATCCACTTTGTAAGACGCCATGCTGCGAACGCCACCTCCACCGCTTTGCCGCTGCCAATATTTCAAACGTGCATCGAGCCGGCTGGTGTGACAACGTATCTTTTATTCATGGCGGCCTCCTCTTTACTTGATGCTGCGGACCAGAGAACGCGTCCCAGAGATGAGTCTGAAAAGCTGTTCTATATTGTCACGGCTTAACCTACAGCTTGAAAACTGTGTCGCTAATTAATCACCTCTCCCCGTTCATGTGATGCCGTTTCTTTTTTTATCTCCTCCTTGCAACAGATGTGATGGATTCAATTAAAAAGCAGGACAGCTTAACGAACACACAGGCCTGCATTCACACGCTCACACAATGACACATTGTACCACATGTAAATGAGCTTATTAGTAAAAGCAAAAACAGGTTTTCAAGGCCATTGCATATTCTTATGGATAATGTAGTGATACAAGCAGTTTGATGCCCTTCTTAAAGGGCCAGTGTGTTGTATTTAGATGGATCTAGTAGCAGAAGTTCAGCACTGATGTAATGTTGATATTTTGCAAGTAATGAATGCAACGGGAAGAGAATCAGCTCTTCTCTCAAGCGGGTGCTGTGTGTGTGGTTCTACCTGTCCAGGTGCGCTGGGGCGAGAAGGGCTCCACCGAGGAGGGGGCCCGGCTGGAGAAAGCCAAGAACGCCGTGGTGTCCATACCGGAGGACTGTGAGGAGCCCATGATCAAACGTCCCACCCCGAAGGCCGCCCCCACCTACCATCAGAACCAGAACAAATGGTACACCCCCATCAAGGTGAGCCACTCATGAGACTGAATATGTTTGGGTTTGTTTTGTCTTTCAGCATTAACCCTTTCCAGTTCTCTTTCCCTCTAACTAATGATGAATGTCTTTTCATTTATTATGTTACTAAATGATACACAGTCCTGCTCACTAGTAGAATAGAGTTTGGCTTTATTATTTCATTTCATTTAACTTTAATTTTCGGTGGGATACACAGAAAGTGAAAATTCACGTCAGCCTCATTGTGACGTATTACTGAATTTATTTTTCCGTTTTCATCCCCGATGTTAAAAGGCTTTACGTGTGGCATTTCCATCAAGGGATTCTTTTTGTTTTCATCTCAAGGTTTTTTAGGTTTAGTTGTTTTTTTTTAATACAATTTCATTTGTTTTATTTTTTTGATTTGTTTTAAAAAATAGAGAAAAAAGGCGAGTTACATTTGTAATTCATTCATTTCACAAAAATTGGAAAACGATTTCCATGTAAATAGATTGTAGTTCAGTCGAATCTTCACAGATGTTTTTGTTAAATGGACCGTTGGTCCCAGCAGAGTCATTCATGGCTCCCAGTAGCGCTGAGGAGCACAGAATTTCATTTCTTTCACAGGATCTGGTTTGTTCAAATAGTTCAAACGCTTTATTTTGGGCCATATTTTAAATGAGGCATGTAGAATAAAGTGTTGTTGACGAAATATAACAATTTCATAGCTTTGATTTGGCTGCTTTTTCTGATGGCGGTGTTCATCACGCACGATGTGTTCAAGGATTGTCGTAAAGTTGGAAATCCGATGGTAATGTCTGTCTTTGTCATATCCAGAAGTTGTAAAAACATTCTTTTAAAGAAAAAAGTTAAAAGCAACCGAAAGTTAGTAAGTGGTCCTTCCAGCTTTTACTATTTAGTTACAAAGGTTAGAAATGACCTTAAGTAGTCAAAGTTTCATGTTTTAACTTTGCTGAGCTGAAATCCTCTTGTTTGGTTTCCTCAGGGTCGTCTTGACGCTGTGTGGGCTCTGCTGGGGCGGCAGTATGACCGGGTTTCCCTCATGAGACCCTCAAACGCAGACAAGGTAAGTCGCAAAACAAAGTGGGAAGATTTATCTGCAGGGAGGCCTGAAACACAAACCATGCAGAGGCATGCAGGGTTGAATAAACGGGGACGTGTATGTCTGTGTTTTACTGAAGTGTGTGTGTGTGTGTGTGTGTGTGTGTGTGTGTGTGTGGGATCAGCTTCACAGTGGTGTGTTGTGTTTGTAGTTACACAAACATACAGCCTGAAGGCAGTGAGTCAAAGTCTCATCAGGGCAGCTTGTTGCATTCACGGATTTAAAGAAGACATTTCAGCCTTCTTGTTTGTTAACTATTCATTGTTGTTGTAACTCTTCTATAAAAGCCCTCATCCTCAGTATGAAGGTGTTTGTTTTTAATCCTTCCAGATCTTTTGAGTCACCACAATCACAGTTCAGAGCTGGTTATTTTATTGCAGTATTGAGTTCCAGCTGTGGCGGTTACAGTAATCTGTTTGCTGGCTCTCAGCAGAAGAAGCTGCTGGCTGCAGTTTAGCGCCGCGTCGTCTGTTCCCTAACTGGGCCGATGTGAGCGGCTCGCTGAGGGACGACTTAATATGGTCAGACCGTGACTTTCCTCAACCTCCATCAGAGGAGAGGAGGAATATCGGCTGCACTGAAACCCGACACCACGCAGGCGGTGTGGAGAGCACGCCGCTCGCAAACCGCCACCGATTTAGAGTAAAGCAGATGTTTTGATGTGTTGTGAGCTTTCTAATGCAGCGGTTTATCCAACAAACCACCGTTTTTATTTCTTGAGGCCCAGAAACAGATTTTCTTTGGCCTCCTCTTAACAAGAAACTTCAAACTATTGCACGGTGAATAATGTGAAGTCCTCCAGAAGCTGTGCAGGAAACAGTGACTCACCTGTACATGCATTTAGCTTGTGTGGTGGTCCCTTCTGATCGTCTTCCACTCAACTCAGCTCTGAGAACAGGAGCCATGAGAGTTTTCTTTAGCGGTTTCATGTCAGACTGCAAATGTCTGCAGAACGTAGACAAAATGAACCGGTGGGCCAGCTGTGAGCCTGCCAGTCACTGCTCAGGGTGTTTAGGATAACTCAGAATATCAGTAGTGTCCCACTGTTGGGTTTCATCCAACTGTTCCAACTTTCTCTTAAGTTACTGACATTTTCCCACCTCCTGTTGCAACCTCAGTTCTTTACACCCTTTTACGGCCAATGTCATCAAGAATAAGCATTGTTTGGCCCCAGCTAGAGTTATCAAGTATTCGTCAAACATTGATTTAAAACTGTTGGCAGCATCACAGCGTTTTACATGTGACCGTGTTATCTAGTGAATCTCGTCACGTACATCTTGTTTATGATGATAATCACAGATGAGTTTGTATTTAGAACCGGTTGAAGGCTCTTACGAGGACATGTACATGCTCTGTTGGTGTCTTCAACAGCTGGCCTTACGCATACGGCTGAGAGTCACCAGTTAAACTGAAACACCGGCAGTGTTGACTACCACTGGACTGTTTGTAGCGTCCATTTTAAAAGTGAGTAAAGTACATCCACACTGATACGTTTGTTCCTGGACAGTTTCTGTGTGGACTCTACGATGGTTAGATAAATATGCATCAATAAGAAACGGAAAGTCTTCTGTTTTGTGTCCATCGTCCTCCTCAAAGCCACAAACGCCCGCTCCGTATGGCTGATAACGCCGCTCGCTAATCACTCCAATAACAGCTGCTTCCTCCGCATGTCGGCAGTAGTAGAATTATAAAATGCAGAATTTAACTGCACAACAGCTGCTATTATAGACCACAAGGTCAGCAACGCCTGTGATCAGTTGGCCGTGTTAAATGAACCTGGTAGTCGATCGGTGATCACGTGATAGAGGCGTGACGAATCAGGGAGGGACACGTCGGGACTTCTAAGAACCAATCAAGTAGTGAACGCGGGTGTCTTCTGCATTTACAACCGTCCACACTAGGAGATATACACTTATTGTAAGTCGCTTTGGATAAAAGCGTCTGCTAAATGACTGTAATGTAATGTAACCCCGGAGGTTTCAAACGTATCCGAGCTCAGGAGCGTTTTTAAACTCCTCTGTTTTCGGTGCTCTAAAACTCCGGCCTAGTGGTGACGCTCAGTGTGAACGTAGCAGAAGATGTGCATTTTTAAAATGGAAAGTAATAGTGTGGACATGGTGTTTGATGTTATGAACATGAACACAGATCCTCTAGTGATGTGTAGCTGGTAATGTCTCTCACTGATGGCACACATCTGGAGTCACTTTGGTTTGGTTACATTCTCCATCTTTGGTGGTTAATGTTCTTTCATAGCTTGACAAGCTGTTGCACTCCGCCCTACTTCCGTTGCCAAAATGCGTGAGCACACCTTCGTACTTCATCGTTCTTTACAAACTGTTGATGTCGAGTCGGTAACTTCCACCGGGTCTCGACGAGGCGCGCGCGCGCGCGCGCGCGATATTGAACTGAGCGGTCCGGTAGGAGGTTAGGTGTGGATGGCAGAGCGGGCAGCGGCGACGTAGAGTAGAGGAAGGGAGGGTGAGGGAGGGCAGCGGTCTTTGATGGCGGACAGGAAACCTCCAGGGTCATGAATTTTTCAGCGAGCCGCATCCGCGGGGTTACAAGGACTCGTACAGGTGTAAGGAAGCAGGTTGTCGCAGACATCTGTTCAGCGCGGGGACCCGGGTGTCCATTCCACCCCCCCCCACCACAGCCCTCCCCCTTCTCCTTGCCAAGCATCCATCCTCACCCCTCTTCCCTCCCTCAGTGCTGCTGCCCGGAGCCAGACTGCTGGATTGTCAGCAGATGCAGAAGAGAGACTTTTTTTTTTTTTTCTGGTCTCACATTTTAGCGCCCGAGGGCCTCCAACACCAAAGGTAGAGCGGGGGTGGACACAGCTGCAGTGCCGAACTCGCCCCCAGGCACAAATAAAGAGATCTAATGCGGTTTGACTGTGTTGTCGGTGAGACCGGGGGAGCCAGGGAGGCACTTCAGAGCCGACTTCGCACGGCAACATCTGCCGCCAAGTTTTGCCGGGGATCGACTGGGGACAGCAGGTAGAGGAAGGTGGCAGAGAGAGAGAGGGAGGCAGAGAGAGAGAGGGAGGCAGAGAGAGAGAGAGAGAGAGAGAGAGAGGCAGAGAGAGAGAGAGCACTTATTCTGGTGCTTAATCAGGCTCTTTTCTTTGAAGCGGCGTTGTGCATACATGAGTATTCATACTCACGGTATTGTTTTCTAAAAGCAGCTGTCCTCACAATGTCCAAACAAGGTGTAGAATGAATGATGCATCCGCAGACATTAAACCCTCCGACAGAAGGAGACAGAATAGCAGGCGAAGCCAAGAAAAAAAAGAAAAAGCGGCGTCTTCATGAGTCCGTGTGGGTTTCCATTTGTTCCTCTCGGCTCTCATCTGTTCCTCACCAGGGAGCCGTGTGGGCTGAGAACGCTGCCGTGTGTGGAGGTTAATACTATTATCTGATGGACCTTCATGTGTTGGAGAGTTTCTAAAAGGCTTTTTGTTTCCATGTGGGGGCTGGTCCTTGGTGTGTCTTTAAAGCACTAATGAGGTGATGGTTACTGATCCTTCGGGGTTAAAGCATCTCGGATACTGCTCAAGATCTCAAACGGCGTCTTTGCACGACCTTTGCAGACGTTCAAACGCTCCTCGTGTCCCAGTCGGTCTCTGCTACTTGTTCTTAGATTCAACAGACTTGTTTCACATATGTAACAAATAATAAGAAAACATGATAAGAATAACCAATAAAATGTACAATAATACATGATTAACTATTATTTGAAAAAAAGGAAAGTAGGCAGAAGTAAACACAAGGTTTTAACCCTTTCTATAAGTTAAATAATGAACTTAATGTTTATCACATACACACATAATCATCTTAATATGTAAAACAAAACAATAACGAGACGAGGGCCCTTCCTCACCCCTGTAACCTTAAAAAACAATGTTTGTATTTTGCTACACGTCTTCATCCAACAGATGAATAAACGCGCTCATCGTGGCACAACTACCATGTTTTTAGATTAAATGTTGCTCTTCAGGTTATGATCTCCTCTCTGTCTGGAAATATGTGTTTTATGTTGCCAGGAAGTAAATAGTTTCTTGCTTTGTGCGTTATTCATGCAGATAAACATATGACATCATGGTATTTGTTAGAGTCAACTAACTGGAAAAAATTGTTAACATTTATCAAGAGCATATTTACACGTTCATAATCCTCTCGTGTAAACTCACAAGTGAATGCAGCGGCACGAAGAATGTAAATCCTACAACCAGCAGGAGAGATTTAAAGCTGCAGCACTCTGACAATACAGATATTATTATTATTATTATTATTATTATTATTACTATCTAGTGCTGGAATAATGTAGTGGATTTATTGATTAGTTGATCAATTGAAAAATGTGTTTTTATACTTGATGAATCTTTAGAGTCGCTCACTCAGAACAAGAACTTCATCAATAATGAAAATAATCCACTTATACACTGGGGGGGGGCCTTTGTGTTTTTTGTACGTATAATTCCAACATTAGTATTTTTTTGAACTATTGTTTTTGTTATGACTACTACTCACAAAGAACTTGAATATTAATGTAGAAAAGCAAAACGTACACTCTAGTGAACGACAGCACAGAGGCTCAGTCGTCTGAACCCCTTTCATTCTTACCTTTCACAATAAAAGCTCGACACCGATTCATTGTGTAACTGTTGACCAGAAGGAACTCAAATTCTCTCCGAGCTTTTCACTTAAAGAAGGCTCAATGAATGATCTTACAGCAGCTTAAAAGCTGCACAACAGTTAACGTCAGACAGACTGACAACAGGATCCTGGTAGTTTCTCCTCTGCCTCTGTGAATCGATTCAAAACTTGACGTTGGAGTCAGATGGAGGGAGGAGAGAGAGGAAGGGTGGATGTTAAAGAGGGGTGTAAGGAGGGGAAATGAGCTTCCAGAGCAAATGGAGCTCAAGTTTCTCTCAGAGTTCCTCTCAGTGGCAGATGGTGGAGTGAATGGGGGGGGGGGGGGGATAATACATTCCAATATGTTAAATGTCTACAGGAAGAAAGATTTTAGAAAGATCCATCACGTAAAAAAACGTTGCTTTCATGGGTTTCTCTACTTGAGTAGATTTGCGACATCAGACCATTTTGAAACTCTTGTGATGCGTTCAAGTACAATCAGACAACTTGGATTTCAGAGTCAGCTGCCGAACATTATAGCTTCCACTACAGCCATGATAGTTGAATCTCATCGGCCTTTTGGGTTTACATTTCAGCAGCTTTTTATGGGAGCTAATCGGGAAAAGTTTGATGTTCCAACATCTGTGTGAACAGCAACCAGCAGCAAAACTGTTTAAAGTAGCTGCGAGCAAAACTGTCAAATAAAAAATATTGTAAATAAAGGTTTCTTTGTATTGATCCAGTGGTGATTTCACCAAAGTCACACAACAACAGAAACAAATGAACCGATGGAGGCAGCGGTGTTCTGCGAGGTAAAGTCACTGTTTTTGTCAAAGAAGTCTGGTTGCGTGGAAGAGAGTGTAGATAACATCTTCAGTGCTGGTACTCCGGTCTGTTTCTCCAAACGGGGGGCGTGCAGACTGGATCGGAACCTCATGCAACTCCTCTTCAAAAGCATCCAAACTATCCCTCTAACTAAAATCAGTGACAGAGTTAAAGATAGGAGGTTAGTATGAAATGGAAGGCATGCTTTTGAAGATCATAAGTAGCAATGTAAAGTACACGATTTGTACTAATTGTTTCAATGAATGCACTGAATATTTACGATAATATAACGAATATAACACGATGACCATTGTGTGTCATCGGTCATGTAGTGACAGAATCACACGTATACGGCACAAACATTTTTACAAAACTAAAAAGATGACATGAATTTCGGGGTTTCATGAAGGCAGCATGTCGTTGCTATTTGAAGAGGAAAGTATCACTGGTCTGTACACATACTGCACAAACATAAGGGATGACTAATATCACCAGTAGTAAACTAGTTAAACCCGACTTAAACATTGGACCACAGCCACGCTATAGGATCAGCAGTAAACTGGCTGCACTGGTGTATCAGTATGAGCAGGCTGGTCACATGGAAGCGATCCAAGAGAGCTGATTATTGAGATACACGATGACCCATTTAGATGATGCAAGTTTCTATGTAAAGATCGAGTTTAGTATTGGCATCCTGAGCAGAGAACTCGGTCACTCATTCTTCTGTTTGTGTTCTAATCCAAGCTTCTCTCTTCTTTGTTCTGGTGGTATAGAGCCGGCCTTGTATTCATGTTGGTGCATGTCAGTCCTCTTCCTTTTGAAACTGTTTGCTCTTCATAAATAGAGCGTGACCTCCCACACGGCATTGCAAAAGTGCAGTTTGAAGCATTCAGCTGAAGGTTCTTTAAAGCCAATGCGGAAGTATCTTAAACTTGCATTCTCTCTACTGACCACCAGGGGGCGACTCCTCTGGTTGTATAGAAGTCTATGAGAAAATGACTCTACTTCTCTCTTGATTTATTACCTCAGTAAACATTGTAAACATGAGTTTATGGTCTCAATCTCTAGTTTCAAGTCTTCTTCAGTACAGCATGATGTTCATTTAGTAAATTATGGTCCATTTAGAGTCACACAGACCATAAAGCAGGGGATGCTTTAGGGCGGGGCTACACAGTGATTGACAGGTCTCTACCAGAGACGTATACGGCGTCTCTACGTCACTCCTCCTAATTCTAAATATGGTAACTTCCTGTTCATCGGTTGCAAAAAAAACATGGCGATGGCCGTAATCCAAGATGGCGAAGGCGAAATCAATGTTTTAAGTAGCTATCATTAGCAGGGTAGCTAGCAATCTAACGATTACGTCACATGGATTTAGCTCGACAGATCGAAAATAAATGGCTCCTTGCCGAGCAAAACACGTTATTAATGCTACTGAAATACTCCGCACGATGTGCATCACCCTCTCGTTCGCCCGGTGTACATAAACGACCTCGTTTGATGTTCACGAAAACAGCGGGATGCGTCGACATCTAGCGGTTGTAAATGTGGTGTATAGACGGTGGGAGTGGATGAACATTTGCACTGTGCTCAGCAGTGAGATCCATTCAACAGACTGTTTATTCAGTCTCATACATAAAGGATGTATTTAGCAGCTTCTTTCTTTGCATCTTTTGTCACTTGATCCAAGCATGTAAAGCGGGGCAAACATTTGCTCGGTATTGTAAAAAAACAACAACCAAACAGATGCACACATACTCATCCTTTCACGCTTCCCGTTTGTTGCTTTTATCTCGTCGCATCACAATGCCACGCTGAATATGGTGAGAACATCTTTCTTGAAACTAATAAAAGCCGTCAAAACTGTATTGTTCGGTGTTAGAATAAAAAAGAGCCAAAAGATGACACATCTTTGAAGGTTGTCGCTGAAAAAAAGGCCCACGTTTAGCTCTCGCCGCAGCCGTTGAGAGGAATAATTTGGTACCTAAACGTCTGATAAGACAATATGCTAATGTGGCACTAAAGAAAGAGTTGACAGCGGCACTAATGCAGAATAAACATGCTGCGGGAGGACGTCTACGTGTTGACATCAGTCAGGGTGTTTACCGGCACACGCATAGATACCTCGCTGGAACAAACATTAATTTCAAAACTAGAAAATTCCTCAAGAAATTTTGACAGTGTGGCTTCTACTGCCCGAAGACGTCGCAATATATAACTACACACGCCGATGTTACCGGTAGTATCGTTGAGCTTTGATTGATATATCGCTTCTCTCTTTTCTGCATTTTAGATTCATACTCTTGGATTGAATCTTGTATTCGTGATGGACAGTCCACAAATGGCTCCCGTCATTTCTGTACTGGACATAAACATCTTTGTTTGAGAAGAAGAGAGAACCTGGTTGCCATGCTGAGGAAGCACCTGGTGTTAGAGGCAGACTGATTACGAAACTTTACAGTAAACAGTGATTTTGAACAAAACCCCTTCCTCCTTTTAACAAAAAGTCTGAGTGCCAAAATATGGATACCGTGAGAAAGATAAGACTCTGCCGAACGCGCTGATGTGTTTTTTATGTTTGTGGTGTTAATAATGTGAGCTCCAGAGCAATAGACACAACTGGTACCGTCTGCTTTCTTTGAGAAATGAGTGGTGAGATTTAACATGGAGTCTAATGGAGCAGTTGGTTGGAGTTCATGTCGCTCTGCGGCTCTTTGAGCCAAATGTGTAAGTCCGTTACATTCCACAGACACTTTACTGCGACCAGCACAACATTTCCAAGCTTTTTGGCCAAAATGGTGTATAAAGAGTAAACATTGTGGGAGCTGGAGCAATTTGTTTGGAAAAATCACAGAATATTTTCCTGCTCCGCTCCACTCTGACGGTTATGCTCTCACTCTAGCTCTTAACGAGCCGCGCAATACACACCCATTATAAAATCTGAAACAGACACAAAATGTTCCTGAAACTTAATCTGTGACTTCATGAAAACTGTGCTAGCTATCAAAATGTCCCTTTGGCTCAATAAAGTGCAGCGTTTTGTCTACTTTTTAAACTTTGAATCATGTTTCTACGTTAATGTACAGCTAGTCAATATGGGCCCAAAATTTAGTGGTTTTTTTGCTCTCTTCACACCGAAACCTCATTCAAGTCAATGGGGCGATTTTGCTCCGTTTTTTGGGATTTTCGGGAAAACCGCTGGGCGAATCTCTCCGAAAAATAGATAGCACACTATTCCCGATCAGGCCGCACGTTTTAAGGTATTTTTCACGCCGCTGTTGGCAACGCTGTGTGAGGAGAAGCGCGCCAAACTTTCCGATAAAGATTATTATTATTATTATTATTATTATTATTATTATTAAGCCCGCAGGATTACAGTCAGTGTGCTTTGGTACAGGCCTTGTGCCACAAAGCCACACTGAATAAAAGGCTTTAATGGAAAGTAAACAACCCGGCAAACGACATTAAGTTGAAACGAAGCTCTAGATCAGAGAGCGTGAGATTTGCTAATTAACGGGGGTAATTAGAATTAAACCAGAGCGTCGCTAATAATGAAGCGTTGGGAGAGGAGAGAAAGGGCCGGAGTCGACTCTGACAAAGTAAAGCTCAACATAACAATCAGACATTACTCATGCTTGCTTGACATCTAACCCCCCCCCCCCTCACATGTATGTCTCCGTGCTGAAGGGGGAGGAATTTATTTCATGTTTTTCTTTGTTGCTGCTTCTCTGTGGCACTACGATACGTGTTGTTTGGGTTAATAGCTGACCGCCGCGGTACAAATCTAACAATAAGGGTCTGTTTTTAGCAGAGGGATCTTTTTCAGTTAAATATCCAAACGTTCCGGTTCTTCTGTCTTTCCAAACAAAACCCAAACCTGCTAATAACATAACATACATCAATTCTGGGTATTTAGAACTGTGAATATACTGTAAAACATTCCACGTTGAGGCATTTTCAGATCACTTCAGTGTAGAAATATGAAATAAAACAGATTTTCTTTTCAAGAAAAAGAAGAAAATTCCAAAAATGAACCTCTACACAGGCTACAACAATATGAAAAACTGGTAAATCAGCAGCTTTTCATTGCAAATCAGAGTATTTAGTGCTCAAGAAAGCCGCTTAAAGTCGTGTTTATTGTGCATCACAAGTGTTCAATTTCCACTATTTGACTAATCATGAAAATCCTCGTGATACAGCCTCCTATTAAAAAATACAGGAATTATCAATGCTGCTCCTTTTTTCATTCATGCAGGGGAACCTTATGATTTATGATCACCTCATTTAAGAATGTTTCAACGTTTGTTTTTCACTAATAACCATGTTCACCTGAAATAAGACGCGTGTGTCCCATCTGTGCTACTTGATTCTTTACAACAATAAAAGGTAAAGTGATTCCGAATGTTTTTGTGCCATTTCAGGACTTTTAAGCATATTTGAATGAATATTGAGATAAATGGCGATATGTAATTCATAAATTGCACTGCAGCAACATTCATTTTCCTAACTCATAACCAGATTATTAACCTTTTTTATTAAAACTCTTGATGCAGCATGCACAGTGCACAGATCTGCTTTATGTTGCGGTGTTTCAAGTGAGTTTTTTTATTTGTTTTTTATACCTTCAACATGAGACTAGTAATAATAAGGATTGATGTGCATGTCTTTCTCACACCTTGCCGGTCTTCATACATCGTGTAGCACATAAAGCAGCAGCGGTGTGGTGGTGCGGTGGTGCGGCAGCGAGCCCTGGGCCTCATTAGTGCTATCGGTGGACGGCCTTGTTAGCCCTAACAAGTAGCCGGCTGACAGCTCCATTCAGCCGCCGCTCCCCCACAAGAGAAGTGACAGCTTTAACTCCGGACGCAGAGCGCCGACGATTTACGAGCCGCGCCCGGCGCTCTCTTAACCAGATTAGTTCTTTTTACATTAACCGAGGAAAAGTAGGGCAGATGTCTGTATGACTGGTTGTAAATTTGATAATGACCGCCATGTTAATCCCCCCCCCCCCCCTCCTCATCCTCATCCATGCCCCCTCACGGCAAGTCCAGGCTGGGACCTGGCTGGTAACAGGATTACCAGTGAGGGGACCCTGTGTGTGTGTGTGTGTGTGTGTGTGTGTGTGTGTGTGTGTGTGTGTGTGTGTGTGTGTGTGTGTGTGTGTGTGTGTGTGTGTGTGTGTGTGTGTTTCTTTGACCAGGAAGCTAATTGTTGTTGTTGGTGGCGGCTGGTTGGAGGAGTAAAGTGAAAAGTAAGCTAATGTGGGGAAAAAGAGACGTAATGAGAGAAGGATTAGTGAGACATCAGGACTGAATCCCCTCCAGTTCCTTCACAACGTCCTCAGAAGTCTGCACGGAAATAAAACTGTAAAAAAAATCATTTAAAAGACACTAATGTCAGGATGCATTCAAATGAATACTTTAAATACTAACACTTCATTGTTGTTAAAAAGCAGCCGCATCTTTACTAACAGAAGCTCAAACGTGTGTAATTCATTCCTTTATGAATATGTATACATTGAATAATACTTTAATCATATAAGTATTATTGTGTACTTTTTTTTATCTTTCTGCTTTGGCAACATTTGTGTTTTTAATACACACACACACACACACACATTAACACATTTACGAGTTCGTCAGGTCGTTAAATAGAGACAAACAAGACAACACTGTTGTTTTTATTACAGAATTGGATTTAATGCAACAACAAATTTCTCAAGCGACATGTCACCCCAATAAAATGAAGAAAGAAAAGAATCTGTTTGTTGCATATTTTAATATCCTTCAAGCTTTAATGAGATCTATCTGCACGTGACGACTCTTGACTGAGATCTCCGGGTCACTTTCCTGGATTAGCTTGTTGTTTTTCTCTTCCTTCTAAATCTCGTTCTGCGCTGAAATCCACTCTGAACACAGTGAGTTACACGCCGCTTCAGAAGTGTTTTGCGATTCTATAGAGTATCTTCTGGT